CGACTTGTTGCAAACAATGATAAAAAAAAATTGGGCAGTCATGCGAAAGTGAAGATTTAACTACGGTTTTTCTGCTCTGTGTATCTGTGTTTGTCCTCGTAATAAGACCAGCTTTAACTTGAATAAAAACAGAAAAAAAAATTTTTTTTTTTCCCGGTTATTTTTGTTTATGATATTTTCCGCTTCAATTCATCTATCTACTTGACCAATGTTTCAGGGTGATGCTGAACTAAGGAAACATTTGAAACACCATATCATCAACCTGTGCAAAGATGAACTTCAATGCTCAGCAGTAAGTCATCATCTTTTCTTCATTCTTTCTTCTCTTTCATTCATTCCGTATTGCACAAATTTATCATCCAACAGCTAGACTGCCTACTTAAATTTATTATGTTTTTTTTATACTTTGACTAGCACTGCTTAGAATGTAAGACAGTAAAAAGAAAAAATGAAACACTAATAATAATAACCAGAAAAAAGCACACATTTTATGCACATTAACTTCAAACAAATGCCGAATGTCCAAAAATTAAATGTGTAGAATTTATGGTCGCTACTTTTGCCAACTTTAAACTTACAAGGGTCTCAATGAGCAAATATGTATATGTGCATTACAATAACCCCAGTCTTCATTCTCAATTTCTGCTTCTTCATGGTGTTATCGTCCTCTTCCCAGTCAATCAAAATAAGCAACGATATCAGAACAAAAAAAAAATGGGGACCGATTAACAGAAGAAAACAAAAAAAAAAAGAAATTTTTTCAGCTTGAAAAAAGGGATAGTTCAAAGGGTTTTTCAAGGCTTAATGGAACGGAAAAAAGTTTTCTTTTTTCTTTGAATATGCACTATTTTTGCCAATAAGGCAAAAAAATTTTTGAACTATACGACGGAAATCATCATATGTTTATAGACATCAGGAAACGTTCAAGTGTTTTGCTTATAAATTAGTTCTTTTCCCCTTTTCTGTTTATCTGAATTCCCTGTAGTGTTCTGGTGCGATAGTCACCAAAAAAAAATTTTTTTTATGTAAATTAGATGAACATTTAACAGCTTGCCGAAACAGTTCGTCAAGGGCAATTGTTATTTGATGAACTGAGTTGTCGTTCTGTCTGTCACCCGTCGTCATCGGGTTCTCCGCTCCGTCGGTCTTTGTCGTCGGTTTTGTGCTTCAACTAACAATAAATACAGCACTGTATTTCAGAGTTTAAGCTAGATTGCCGGTGCTGTTTTGTTTTTGTTACTCAACACAGTTACTACAAAAAGGGATTTTTTGGCCACCGTTAACAAAATATACATTTTTATAAGTTTATTTCTGTTGTACTTTTGATATCAATCTGTTGCTGAAAGGCCAAGAAAAAAAGGAAAGCGAGAAGAAAGTAATTTTGATTTGTGTTTTACCGTTAAATAGTTTACCTAAATAGTTGGCTAGCAATATAGCATACTAAGCAAAAAACAAACTATTTAGTCTATTTACCGTCATTTATTTGTTTAATTTTCGTTAATCTTGGCGTTGTTGAAAGAAAAAGTTTATTTTACAAATTTTGGCCGATACATATGTAAAACTTTGTTATTTGTTGCCTTGTTTTTCGCCAGTTTTCTCTTCCCGAAGAAGCAAAAAACATAAGAAGTTGTTAAAAGGGGGTAAATAAATAAAGTTTAAAGTTATTTTGTCCATAATTAAAGGCACTGATATCACTTTAAGCAAAGACAAGAAATGAAGATAAGACATAATAAAATTTTACTATCTTTGCTTTTTGTTCTTTCCCTAACACATTTTTACTGTTAAATAAATTACGCTCTCGTAGGTGTTCTTTCTGTTCAATTTTTTGTTTTCTGCTTTTGTTTATTACTGTTTGTTGTCCAACATAATGCAACAGAACAAATGAAGAAATTAAACTGATGTTTAATAATTTTTGCTTCTGTTCTTCAGTGATCATTGAATTGATTGTTCCAAAAAGTCCTTCAACGATTAAGTATTTTCTAATAATAGTCATAATAGTAGTAATAATTGAAGGGGAAAAAAATTGCTTTTCAAGAGACTTCTGCAAATGATTTTCAATGAGATTTACAAGTGTCAAAGTGGTGGTGACCAATGTTGATTACGGGACGCTCGGGGTTAGTGAGGCGGTTGGGGGATAGGGAGAGGTGGTGTGGTGACAATGAAGGACATTGTTGAAGCTGTCTGTTTCTATCTGTGGTTTTTATGTGTTTAGACGGGAGGGTGGGGGGGGGGGGGTTGAGTAAGACTACTGAAAACAAAAGATTCTTTTGAAGCAACACAAGAAATATGCTACTTAGGGTTAAGATAGATTTTTTAATTTTCATATTTGAACATTATTTTTTTTCTTTTGGCTATATTTTGGTCTAACAATCTATAGAATGGATAAAGAAGAAGCAGAAGCAGAAGAAGAAGAAGAAGAAGAAGAAGAAGCAGAAAGAATTATTAAAACAAAAACTAAAAACTACTTAAGAAATGGTTATGAAAGAAATAATCAAAAAGCATCATTATTTCTTCAAATACACATTGTATCCTTTTCATTAATGAATTTTTGGTTGAAGCTGTTGTCATTCTTAGCAGCTTTCCGTTTCCATTTATGCCTTTGTGAATTCATAGATCAGCAACCAAAACATTTCTTCCAATTTTTTTTTATTTGTGTACGTTATAATTTATTATATTTAAAAATCGTTGCTGAATGGATGGATACATACAGCGGTTGCCAATTAAAGAACACATCAGCAAATCTTTGCTGATCAACATTCCCGTTCTTATCCATTCTATAACGGACATAAACGGAACATCACTGTATTTTATTAGGCACTTAATTTCTCTGTTGCAGCTTTCGTCTAAAACGCAAACTATAGTTAGCCTTTTTCCAGTATACTGTAAAGCGTTACTGATGATTTTAAGCAGATGAAAGAAAACAAAAAACGAAAGATGGGACGGAAAAATTCGAAAATAAATGTAATACTGCCGACTACTAAACAAACTTATAAATCGCTGATAAAGTTTTTTATTTTTCTTACCATAAATTCCATTCATTTTCATTTTTCATTGACCGTTCAGGAAGTCTCCGTATCATTGTTGACGGAATCAAAGGAAATTGAAGATGAAGGACTGATGAGCGTTGAAAAACATCAAAAACAAAGTAATAAGAAAGAAAAGAAGGAAGAGTACAAAAAACTTGACAATCTAGTCATTTCTTTCTTCCTCACCCTTCTTCAGATCGTTCAATAAACAGTCTTTATAAAGAAGTACCGCGGAAAAAAAAAAAGGAAGAAAGAGAAAAGTAAAGAATAGGAAAATAAAAACAACAATAGCATGAAAGACAAAGAGAAGGATTTTTGTTATCATAGAAATGTATATGGAAAAGAACGGCCAAAGATAAAGATGACAAAATAAAAAAAGAAAGTACATTAAAATTTAAAATTTTCTGTAATTACTGTGAACATCAAATTTATTTGCTGTATTGTTATGATAATGATCAAAGAATTTTGAATCCATATGAGACAACGATCGTTTGATTGGTCGTAAATGACGTAACTGAATGAACATAAAGACTTGCATCAATCTAAGCCGACATTGATCTGTATAAACAATAAAACTGATATGTTCATTTTTTTTCGTATTTATTTATTACTTTCTTTCGTCTTCTACTTTACCCCCTTTTTTAATGACTCTATGAAGTGTTTCTTTTTTTTTTGCTTATTTTTTTTTCTTGGCGATCATCGAAAAGTGAATACGAATTATTAGCTGCTTTAGATGTCCAATTTAGGCTTTTCTCCTTATTTGTTAATTTTCCTCTCCAAGTACACCATCAGTCTTAGCACTGTATCACTAAGATTCATCAGATTCAAAGCTGTCGCCAGCCATAAACAAACTGTTGACTTAAACAATCTGTATTTGGAAGTAGAAGCGTGTAGTCCAAAAAAGCAAAAAAAGTTTATTTGAAAAGCTTCTAGCAGTGTTTCAAGTTGATTGCAAACTTTTTTTTTTGCTAACCAAGTACTTTATACATATAAATAGCATATCAGAGGTATGACGAAGAAATATGGCTGTCTACTTATATGGATATTTTTTTCGTTTTGAACAGGTCAAAGCCAATGAATTGAGTATAAAAATTGTCTAATAAAAACCTTAGCATTATAGCGGAACATTTGTTAAGAGTGAAAGTATAAAAATACCTAAAAAAAATCTGTTTCTTCTTATATTTCTTTGTTTTTATGCTTTGTAATTTTTGAAACCGACTTTTATGATAAATATATACAAATATATATTTTTTTCTGTCGTAAATATATCGTTTGAACAGCAACGAATTTCTTTCATTTAATAATTATAAATCTATGAACAAAAACTTTTTTATCGGCTTTTACAGTCATTGCTGATAGCTTTCTTTTTCGTAAAAATTTATGCTTTGATTGACACAAAAAGAAAATGGGTAAAAAAAAGAAAAACAAATACTGAAATGTTGCTTTAATAATATGTTAACTGTATCTGTTGATCGGATAATTTTTAGTGTTTGGAACCCTGCCGAAAAGTGTTCTCCGATACTGCTCAGTGTCAAAGTATCGCTTGCAAGGTTTGTTTCTCTGTTCTTTAGTTGGCTGTTGATTTTTTTCTGACCCCGCTTTTTAAGAAAGTATCAATTTTTGTTTTTTTCTACGTAAAGTTTTGATAGGTGTATGAAGCTAACACTGAACTTTGTGCAACTAGATTGTGAGCACCGTCTTTAATTCGTCTTTTTTTGATGTGCTCATTTTTTAAAGTTATCGTCAAGTAGGATACCCTGACCATGCTTTACCCTACCCCAATAAAATACGTTAAAATTTTATGGCTGCAGTGAGTGGGGTTTTTTTTTTTTTTGATAAAGAACAAGTATGTAGGAAGCGAGCAGAAATTAACAGAAAAGATAGAATTAAGACAGTAAATGCAGATGTAGATCAAATTGGCTGGCACGTAAAATAGCTAAATGAATTAAAGGTCCAAAGTTCGGCCGGTGTTCAATGGTTTGTACACTTCGATTAACTGCACTAATCTAAAGAAGTTGGCAAAAAAACTTTTGACACTTTAGGTCGTTGTCTGTTTAAGTAATACCGACATACCTGTTGTACATTAAAAAAATACTTATAATTACAGGATGTTGAAGATCAGAGAAGCTGTGAAAATTCGTGTAATTTTTTGCAAAAAATTTACGTGGAAAAACCCGGTGTTTGTCCGACGCCACAAAGGTTTTTACCGTCTGACGTAAGTTCCACAGTTTTTAACATCTACCACCATCCCGATGTTCCAAACGACTATTCTCTACAAAACTAATGCTGCTTTAAAATTTTAGGAATGTTCAGCACTCTGCCAATTTGACGGCGATTGTTCCGAGGCGCAAAAGTGCTGTACAGTGGGATGTAGCCGGAAATGTGTAAAGGTGAAAAAGCAGGACATTCGCTTGCTGCCAATACCAACTGGAATTTCTGTAAGTGAACGGAAACGCAAAAGGTAAATACAAGAACATTTTTTTTCTTGGCAGTTTATTTTATCAAATCAATTGCCACGAATTTACACTTGATTTTTGTTTTCTTTAAAGTTCAGAAAAGAAAACAAAAAAGAAATTTATAGCAGCATTAACATGCTTCAGCGTAGTCAAAGTCTAAAATAAACAAGAGGAAAGCAGTTAAGACAAAGAGGTTGTTTAATTGGTTTTAGAAAGAAATTGTGTAAAAATTGCCGTCATTCAAAAATTTTTCTTGTGAAATTTGAAAGAAGAAGAAAAAGAAAAGTTCTATAATTTTAACAAAGGAAGAAAGTTAAACAAATAAATATTGGTTTTTTTCTTCACTCCAATAATTTAGGTCGGCAATAATTCGTTGGGTTATGCAAAAAATGTCCCCAAATCAAATATTAACAAATGCAAATCTGTATGTGATACAGTGGAGATGGAGCGTACATAAGGATGAAAATAAGATGACTGAATGGCAAACTATTATGATGGTTGGTTGTTTAAATATGCCGTCCAACTTTGGTTATACAGTTGAAACCTTCTGAGAAAAACAGATTCAAAAACAAACGTTTGCAGAAAAATAAACTTTATGCCATAATGAAACATCTGTTGTCACCGGGACGATACTACCAATTTAGAGTAGCTGCTGTAAATCAGTATGGTAGTCGAGGTTTCTCAAATAGCAGCGCTATCTTCAAACTTTCTAAGGGTAATATTCAGAATTAATCGACTAGAAAGAATTTATCATTTTTTTTTAGCAGATGTACTTGCATTTATTACGCTCTTGAATCTATAACTTTTCAGAGGCACGTGCTCCTGGACAGCCAAATAATATAGTTTTGGGAGACCTGAATCGTGATTCTAAAGGTTTATGGTCACAGCGTGTTTCCTGGAAGCCTCCGTTATCTGATTTTCCAATAAAAAACTATGTGGTTTGTTATTAAAAAACAGTAACGTAGATTGTTAGTTTTTTAACGGGTGTGGACCAGTGAAAATAAAAAGTGTTTTACAGCTGACATGGTATAAATCAACACCTGAAGAAGCAAATAGTTATGAAGATTCAGTGAGAAGGAAAACTGAACTAAATCAACAGGGAAAACGATCTGCCTTAATGTACCATGACGAAAATGAAGAAGAAGATGGATTTGTTGGTCCTCAACGAATGAGCACTGTTGTATCGTCCTACAGCACTTCAGCTGATATTCCCGCTCTGCCGCCTGCATCAGTTTTTCTCGTTGAGGTAATTATTTTTACAGAAGCTTTTAAATTCTCATCTGCATAAATCTTTACTGCTTTTAAGTACTTATCTTTATTTTCTGCATTTTTAAGAACTAGTCGTTTACAGATTCATGCTGTCGTTGATTCATCAGACGGTGAATTACGTGGAGAAAGAGGGGTTATTTTTATACGAACGCCAGATGAAACAGTTATCAACACATCAGAACAAAGTTACTCAGAAAGTACTGAACTTGTTACGCCGGACAGCGTCGATGCTGAGGCTAACGTTTCCATAAGCAATCAGCGGTTACCGCAACTGCAGATTCAACTGCCAAGATACGAATATGGTAATTTGAAGACCGGAATAAATTGGTCAAAACATCCGTACTGCTTTTCTTCAAATCATATCTATGTAGTCAGGTATAAATTCTTATTTTCACTTATATTCTCGCAAACACTAAGATTTTTTTCAAGTAAAAAAGAAACAATAATTTGTCGTTTGCACAAAAAAAGCGCTGAATTCTGTGCTGTTTAATGACAAATATTTTTCTAATGATATTACCGACGAAGATATGTTGCAGCAGTTTTTAACTTAACACATCTGCTGCAATATTTCACGTCCTTGAAAGAAAAAATTTAAAAAAAAGCTGTATTTTTTATCTTTATATTCTACATGTGAAGAAAGAAAGCAATAAAAATTTTAATTGCCAGTTATCAAAACGCAAAAGTGCTTTAATTGAGAGGAAACTTTACCGTTTTAAAAACTGAATAATCAAAACTTCAGATGGCGTTTAACTGCTTGTCAGCCCTTTTTCAATCAGCAAAAGACTTATTATGACTTAGACTTATCTGGCCGAGACTGGTACAGTGTTAAAACAAAGAAATGTTCGACTGAAGTTGATGAACTAGATTTTTTATGTTACTATGAAGTTGAAGTGAAAACGTTGGAGGAAGATGAGGTAAGGCCCTCTTCTACTGATATTTTAAAGAAAGGTTATTTTAACTAACAGAATTTGCGTTAACATAGTACTGGTATTGTTTTATTGAAATTTTTTAGCTGGTTGCACAAGGCGGTTTCAAGACAAACAGTTGCGTACAAACACCCTCTGACCATAAGGTTCCGTGTGATACTGGACGAGTTCGATGTACGGCAGACAGCTATTACGCGAAATGTGTATGGTCGTTCTTTTCAAACACAGACGGCGAGGAAAATGAATTACAACAAACCGTCGGATTCAGGATCACTATCACCGATACTGCCACAATGAAAACTAACGAGACAATTTTGCCGGCTACTGTATACAACATGGAATACCATAATTTGTTGCCACATCGAGTATACAACATTATTGCACAGACAATCACCAAATATGGTATCAAAGAAACACTTCGGACAAGCTTCAAAACTAGTCCAATTAGCGGTGTACAGAAGGCAAAAAAACAGGATAGCAGCCTGAACAAAAATGTAATAGATGAATTGAAAAGTGAATACGAACGGGACGAAAATAGGAATAATTTAGAAATGGAAACACTGTCTGTGGACAGAATTATTGAACTGCCGTTAGAAGGTGGTGGTAGTGAAGGAATTTTTGTACCAAGTATTCGGTGGTATTTAAAGCCACTGTATTTGATGTTTATGTTTTGGGTACTTCGATTAAGGTTATTTGTCTAAATAATGCTATATAGTTTTGTTGTAAGCTTAGTTGTATCCTGTTTTTGTTATTATTGTTTTTTTTTTGATAAGAAAAACTTGAAACAACGAGAATCAGAAACAAAAAATCCGGTGTATTAGTTATTAGGTAACTGATTTAGAAATATTGTATATAGAGTTTCCTTTTAAAAAGAACAGAGTCATTTTCTTCCTTTCCTTGTGTGTTTGTGTGTGTGAGTGTGTTTGTGTG